TAGTTCTTTTCTTGTTGTTGTTTTGTACCACTAAATGGGAACCAACACATAGCTGACCTTCCAGCAGGTTTTCAGAGGCAGAAAATCACACAAAGAGGAGCTTGTTCATCTTTCTCTTGCAGAACAGCTGGTAGATTCAAACCATATACCTCTTGGACTGTATTTTCATAATTCAGACTGCTAAGATTAACAGCAGACTATTTACGAGAAGTCTCAGGTCAACATAGTCCCATATGCTTAACCAGCTGTATGTGTCCATAGTTTCTATCTTAAACACTTCTATCCATGGCTGTTCTCCAATTCCTCTATGGCCCTTGGGTTCAGATTTACTAGAAGTTCTCCCAGAGATTCAGCTCTGTCATGCGGAAGGACTCACATGGACATAGGTTATGTGGGGTTGGTTTTGGAGAAACTAGTGAGCAATGGGCCAGCATCCTGTAGGCTGTCACTTGTGACATAGCTAGGTGGTGACTGTGGGTGATGCAGGCTGGTGGTGTAGAAACTAGTAAGCAGTTGGAACTATGTCCCAGGAAAGTGACTTTTCAAATGGGGGGGGGAACCCCAAACACCTGGGACTGAGATCCCAGGAGCTTATCTAAAACTCTAGGAGGGCGGAGCTTTTATCTCATCTGAACACTCTTCCCTTAATAAAATAATTCCTTCAACACAAAATAAACAATTATTGGCTAGAGAAGACAATAAACCTTAGACACTCAGAAGTTGTTGGCAGTGCAATTCCTTACCACTGAGACACCAGAGCTGCCTTCTTGGTTATCTAGTGCTGATAAAACAGAAATACCACAAGCAAACATCTTTAACAAATGGAACATTTATATTTTTTGATGGTTGTTGTTGTTATTAGGTGCCATCGAGTATGACTTGTAGCAACTCTAAGAACAGCAGTTCTGAATCCTGCTCTATCCTGTGTCATCCTTATCATTGAGCCCATGGTTGCAATCATTATGTCAATTCATCTGGTTGAGAGTCTTGAGATTAAAAAACTTGAACTTTTGGCCATTCAGTCTGAACTGACTCATAGCCGACCATCAGTTGAGTTTTGGGGTTTGTAAATTGCACAAGAGGAGATTGCTCACTTTTCTCCTGCCCAGTGGCTAGCAGAGCAACTCTCTACAAACAATGCCACTAGGAAGTCCTATCAAGGAAACTAGAAGTCCACATTCAGGATGCTGGCTTGAGGGGAAGGCTTTCTCTCTGTGTTGGGTCTGGAGGAAGGCCCTTGGTCTCTTCAGCTTCTGCTTCTTGGCTCATTAAAAATCAACAGTTATCTTTATCTTATCCCATCTCTGCTCTGCGTGATTTATTGTCTTTTATGTCTTAAAATGGATTATCTCAAGACACACTCAACACTAACTCTAATTCATATAAGAAGCACTCCATTTTCAACTAAGATTATAATGTAGGTGTTGAGATTTACAACACATATTTTGGGAGGAGAGTTACCGTCTAGACAAAGAAAGTGTACACTGCATGGTTTAAAATCAGAAAAGATGTGCTTCAAGGTTGTACCCTTTCTCCATATATACTCAGTATGTACACTAAGTTAACAATTGGAGAAGCTGGACTCTTTAAAGATTAATGAGGGACTAGAATCAGAGGAAGACTAAGCAGCAGCGTGTATTATACAGATGATGCAACCTTGCTTGCTGAAGGTGAGGACTTGAAATGTTTGCTGCAGATGTTAAAGACCATGGCTTTCAATATGTATTGTATTTCAGCATCAAGAAGACAAAGATTCTAGCCACTGGAACAAGAAACGACATCATGGTACACAGAAAAGACTGAAGTTGTCAACAATTTCATCTTACTTGTTGTTGTGGTTGTTGTTGATTGCCTTCGAGTCAAGCATGACTCATAGTGACCCTATGAACAAAAGGCCTGAAGCCCCTCTATAACTACTGCCATTTATCAAAGTTCATAGAGTTTCCAGAGGCATGTTATTCAGGAAGTGGATGCCACTCCTGCTTCCAAACCTGTCATAGCATGTTATTGTTGTTATGTACCATTGAGTTGCCTGCAATGTACAGCGATCTTATGTACACCAGCTCTGAAACCTTCCCTGTCCTGAGCCAGCCTCTCTAATTCCGACACACCAACCCCCATCGCCCCAGTTACTGTATCATTCCACCTCATCTGGGGTCTCCATCTCCTGTACTGTCTGTCCACGCTTCCAAGCATGAGGTTCTTCTCCAAAGACTGATCTCTCCTGACCATGTGCCCAAAGTAAGTGAGGCAGAGCTTCAAAATCCTAGCCTCCAAGGAGGAAGTTGGTTTCACCCTCTCCAAGGCAGACCTACTTGTTTTCTTGGCAGTCCATGGTATGTTCAAGACTCTTCTTCAGCACCACAACTCGAAGGCCTCTTTTCTTCTTCTGTCATCCTTAGTCATGTCCAACTCTCTGAAGTATCACAAATAATTGAGAAGACCATGGCCTGGATTAGGCACACCTTTGTATCTTACTTAGATACATAATCAATTCCCTTAGTACTAGCACTCAGGAGTTCAGAAGATGTATTGCATTGGGCAATTCTGATGTCAGAGACCTCTCCAAATTATTGAGGTGCAATGATGTCACTTTTAAGACTAAGGTGTGCCTGATTCAGGCCATGGTCTTTTCAATTCTTTTCTATGCATTTGAAAGCTCAAAAATGAATAAGAATGGCAGGATAAGAATTTATGGTTTTGAGCTGTGTCATTGAAGAATAATACGAAATATCCCATGGACTGCTAAAAGGGAAAAACAAAAACAAAAACCAGATACATGTTGAAGGAAATGCAGCCAGAATGTTCCTTGAAGTTGAGAAGCTAAATCTTCATCTTACATACTTTGAGCATGTTGCTAGGAGATGTGATTCACTGGGGAGAGATATTATGTTTGGGAAGCTGGATGGTTGGTGAAAGAGAGGAAGACCTTAGATGAGATGAATTGACACAGTGATTGCAGAAATGTGCTGAAGTGTGTCAGATGTATGAGAATGGCACAGGATAGGGTAGGATTAAGATCTGTTCTTCATAAGGGGGCTATGAGTCATACTCAACTTAATAGAACCTACCAACAACAGTTACATTTTGGAAGGATAAAATTCAATCCATAAAATGAGAGAATTTGATTCATTCCTTCTTCTCTGTCTTGGTATGCTCAAATTATGTGTCAAAGCTTAGATGAAGCTTGTAAATCACATGGCAGGAGGTTACCCATCTTTATCTCAAGAGCAGAAGATACCAGTGGGCTGGTGTGCAGGGGGTGAACTCTCTGGTTCAGCAGTGAAGATTGCTTTGGACTAAGAGCCACCAGAGCTCCCTAACTGTTGTCATAGGTAACGTTTGGTATGTGAGGTAAAGTCATAACAAGGTCAAATAGCAGCTAACCCTCCAACTAGTTTTTCAGAGGGTGTAAATCACACAGAAAATTGCCCATTCTTTTCCCACAGAGTCAATGGTACATTTGAACCACCTGCCTTTGGGTTGGCAGAGCAGCTTCTTACCACCAGGAATTCCCTGTTCCTATTAATTGTTGTTATATGTACCATCGAGTCCAAACAAACCCCTAGCTGACTCTCTAGAGGCAGCAAATCTCATGGGAGGAGACTGCCCAACATTCTCCCACGGAGCAGCTGGTGGACTCCGGCCAACTACCCTTGGGTTACCAACACAATTCCTTATCACTGTGCCACCAGCATGTTCTTTTCCAAGGACCTGTCTCTCCTGGCCACATACCCAAAGTACGTGAGAGAGCTTCAAAATCCTAGCCTCTAAGGAAAGACTTGGTTTCACCCTCTCCAAGACATACCTGTTTGTTTTCTTGGAAGTTCATGGTGTGTCAAGACTCTTTTCCAGCACTACAACTTGAAGGCATCCATTCTTCTTCTGTCATCCTTAGTCATTGTCCAGCTTTCTGAAGCATAACAAGTAATTGAGAAGACCGTGGCCTGGATTAGAGTGGAGAGACAGCACAGGAAAGGAAGACCCCAGATGAAATGAATTTATACGACATCTAGGGCAATGGGGGTTGTTGTGTCAGAGTTAGTGAGACTGGCTCAGGACAGGGAAGGGTTCTTAGGGTCACTGTACGTCACAGGTGACTCAACAGCACATAACAACAAAAGCATACTATATTGGTTGTGGTTTTTTTTTTTTATTTAAGCCTCGTGTTTAGAGTCAACAAGACCTTGGGAAGGGCCTTTGTATTTAAAAATCACTTGTTATTATATTTTGGAGGAACATTCTTCTAAATGGTACAGCACTCTTTTGTTAATATGTTGTGCTGAGGTAACCTGGGGTTGCTGTGATGCCGAACCTTGTGCCATTGGGGTGTCAGATGTCATAACGGTTACCCAAGGTGGATAGTGTTTGGTGGAGTTCCCAGTTTAAGATAGATTTGGAAGCAGGAGTGGCATCCACTTCCTAAACAACATGCCTCTAGAAACTCTATGAACTTTGATAAATGACGATAGTTATAGAAAGGTTTCAGGTCTTTGGTTCATAGGGTAGCTATGAGTCGTGCTGGAGTAGATGGCAAACAACAACAAGGCCACTAGAGCTCTTTGTTCCTAATAATAGTTCTCAAGAAATTGAGGGCACTTGTAGTTTACACTTGACATTTAAATTTATGTAAAAACTTGGGTAGAGAACAGAAACAAAACAGGTATTTCAAACCAGTAGCAATTCCAATAGCAAAGCTGGAGAGGGGTTGTTATGGGAGGGAATGGAGCGAGCCATGACCCTCCCTCTGCCCTCTGGCCACCCCTCCCCCATGCAGTGGTTTGCTTCCTCAGTGTAAGGCTGATTCATTGTTGCTGGCAAAACAGGACCTGGTACGCTGAAAGCCACTGAAACTGGGGGAAACTAGTCATGAAAACCCTGACTGTCAGCTGACAGATGCCTTGTTCTGCCAGATAAGTACAAGCACTATTTCCAGACCGACAGTCTCCAGGGGCTGACCAGGACTTTTAGAACCCAACTGGCCTGAAGTCTGTTCCCCCATGCCAGAGAGTGCTGAGCTGCACTTCAACGTGGACCATGGCTACCTGGAGGGCCTGGTGCGAGGATGCAAAGCCAGCCTCCTCACCCAGCAGGACTATATCAACCTGGTTCAGTGCGAGACCCTGGAAGGTATGTGCACCTTAGCTTACCATCTGGGAAAAAATGAAACCATGTGTCCTTCTTTCATTATGTTTCCCTGACTTGAAGTTTTCACAGGCTCTTATTCCCAGGGAGAGAGAGGGAGAGGGAGAGGGAAAGAGAGAGGGAGAGGGAGAGGGAGAGGAGAGGAGAGAGAATAGAGACCATCAAAAACTATGGAAGTGTAATTAATGACATTAATCAATGTTCTAAAAAAAGTCTATGCATGCATTAAAAAACCAATATGACTTATAAACCTTCACTCAGATAAAAAAAGAAATTAATTGAAAATTTAAAAAATGATATTAAGAAAACCCTATGTAGTGTGGGTCTATGCTGACATACACAGGTGGTCTCCAGAGATTGGAACTGACTTAATTACAACTGGCCAGTTATTGATTTGAAGGTTTGGAATGGATCTTTAGCTGAAACCTGAGAAAAAAAGTAGAAGATGGACTTGTCTGGGGACCATCTCTGAATCTAGAGTCCCAGCTTTGACTTCTGCCAGGCCTTGGGATGTTGCTGCTGTTAGATGCTGACTTGGGTATAAAGATCCCTCCTTTGTAAAATGTGATGGGACTGGCAATGTGGTTGAGTTGTAAGGAAAAGGAAATAAAACTATATTGAAAAAAATTTTTTTTGCATTTCCCAAAGATGATTTCACCTTTGTCATGCTGTTGTTGTTGTTGTTGTGTTACCATATTGTCAGAACTAACTCACAGTTGACCCTCTTATGGGATTTCAGAGGCAGTTAATCACACAGGAGGAGATTGCCCATCCTTCTCCCACAGAGCAGCTGGTGGCCTCAAACCATGTGCCTTCAAGATTGCAAAGCAGCTTCTTGCCACTCAGCTACCAGAGCTCCCATCTTTTGTCACAGTGTTGTTATTAGCTTGCAAAATCACAAAACCATAGCAACAACCACAGTTGTTTTTATTAAATGTGATGACTAAACTAATTGTTAGATTTATTTACAAATTTAGTGTATGTCCAACTAAAACTGCCAGAGTATTCTAATCAGAGCAAGAAAGTAGTACATTTCAAGCTTCCAAGGGAGAGTATTTGGGAGGCAGGTACAAGGGAGCAAACAACTTCTGAAGGTGACTTTGCAAGCTGTTCTAGTTGATGGCTTGTTTATGGTTCTGTTCTGTCAAAACCAGTTACTGTGGATCGGCCCAAATTCCCCTCAGATGCTAACCACTAATTATGGCAGCTGTGACCCCTAAATCTCAAATCCGAATCAATTCAACCTCTTAAATTACGAGTTTGGTGGCTGGAGAATGTTGATAATGTATAGAAAATCTACAAAAATTGAGGTAGACTATTAAAGGGTATGAGACTGAGTTCTTCTGCAGAAGTCATTTCAATAAATATCGTGGCCAAAGGAAGGCAAATTTAAACCCAAATAAAACATAAAATAACTTTTGATACAAGACAGGACTTAGAAAGAAACCAAGGGCAGCCATTCTAAAGCCATAAAAAGAATTCTAGATAAGGAAAAGGTAAAAAATTAAAATTGGAATTCCTAGTATTTTCTGAGGAAGGAGGAGAGAGCAATGGAGGGAAGAAGTAAAAGTTAGATTTACCTCAACGAGCTCAGCAACTCTGGGCTGAGGTACCGTGGTGATTTTGAGGCTAGCACTGATTTGGGCAGGATTTCAATCAGTCTGTAGAGAATTGCACTGCTAACCTGAAAGCAGTGACTTTGATTCCAGCTGAAGCTCCTCAGAAGAAAGTTGGGCAATCTCCTCCTGTGAGATTTATAGCCTTTGAGAACCCACTGAAGAGTCAGCCAAGTCAGTTCCAACACAACAGCAGTGAGTGACTAAGTGAGTACTATGGGTAGGAGTTGACTCCAAGGCTTCTAAAAACAACAAATACATGTTGACAGTTACACAGAATGGTATACTCAGTTTCAATATGAGGAAAAAGGGAACGTCTCGGATTCTTGAAAATCTGAAAAAGAAACCTTTTCAGAAAAATATGTTGGCACAATGTCAGGGAATTCAAGATCATATGTCTCTATATATTGCCACACCATTTTATCTCGTGGTTTCTACCTTCCCTCGATTTTTTTTAAACCACTCATTTCATAGTTATATTTGAATGAGTGTGTCCATATACTGTGTGGAGACTTCCAGAAATAGCAAGTGTAAATAGTCAAAAACCATGTTTAGATTACAATGATTGTGAAAATAAATCTCAATAGAATTTCACAGTTGAGGACACAGAGACTTACAATGGTTGTGATAAATCTAATAAACTGTCAACCACAGAGGACAGAAGGATGGATCTCTTGTTCTTCTCCAATATGTCACTGCCCTCTGAGTATGAACTGACCTTCCTTGAATAGATCTGTGTGGAGTTGTTGGCTCCACTTTGTTCTAGGAATAAGGACAGTTCAGCAACTTGTCATTAGGGAGGTCACATGTGTGTGTGTGGGGGTTGTTGGGACAGCAGACCAAACAAACCAGTAGAAATTGTCAGTGAGGGTGACACTAAAATGTCTATCTGTGCAGTGTTTCAGCAGAAGTTTATTGTTCTTTCTAAAAAAATACCTCAGTAGTTAATTATCAGAACAAAACCCTTTTCTTGTGAGTGTACTGCTTACCACTATAAATAGGTTTAAATTCAATGCTCATCTCTTGAACCTTCTTCCATTTTTGCTCAGTTATGAGGACCCTTCAAATCACGTGGTTTTATCTGCAAATATAACAAAAATACTTTTTCATCGCTATTGGTATGTTTATGCTCACTGACCGTATGAGATTTCCTGGTATTTTAGCGACAATATTGTGCTAATTAGTGTCTGTGAGGGAGCTCCTGTAGCCTAGAAGAAGTTGTGCTGCCAACTCAAAGGCAAATGGTTTGGATCCACCCACTTTTTCTTGGAAGAAAGATGGGCAATATCATTCTGTGTGATTTACAGCCTCTAAAAAAACCTGTGAATCACTCAGCTATGAGTCATTTCCTACTCTACTTAATGGTTTTTTGAGAATTATTTGTGAATTTAAATAAATAATTTTTAAAGAATGAACTATTAATTGACAGAAAAGAGGGAAAAACTAAAAAACTTCTGTTTAGTTATCAATAATATTGTACATTACAGTATTTTAACTTAATCTAGAAAAAATTTACAAAACATTTATATTTGTTTTCATGTCATTTAAGAAATATTACAGTTTACAGCTATAATCTATTAACTGCTACGTTTATCACAAAGAGATTGAGCCTGTTAACAATTTCAGCTTGCTCAGCTCCACAATCACCATTCTTCACACAAGCAGTCAGGAAATCAAAAGATGAATCGCACTAGGGAAAAACAATCTGCAGTCAGGAACCTCTCTACAGTACCAAGAAGCAACAATGTCAGTCTAGAGACTAAGGTGCACCTGATCCAGCCCACAATCTTCGCAATTACTTGCTGTGGATCAGGGAGCAAGACAATGACTAACTGAAGAAGAATCAACACCTTTGAGTTGTGGCTCTGGAAAAGAGTATTAAACACACCATGGACCGCCAAGAGAACACGTCTGTCTTGGAGAGGGTGAAACTAACTTTCCCCTTGGAGGCTAGGATTTTGAAGCTCCATCTCACATGCTTTGGACATGTGGCCAGGAGGGACCAGTCCTTGGAGAAGGACAAAGGGTAAAGGGACAGTGCAGGAGAGGAAAATCCCAGATGAGATGATTGACACAGTGACTGGGGTAATTGGAGTAGGTGTGTTGGAGTCAGTGAGAGTGGCTCAGGACAGGGCAGGTTTCAGAGCTGTTGTACACAGGGTGACTATGAATCACAGGTGACTCAATGACATGTAACAACAACAAATCTATGTTAAAATTTATAATAGCCATTGCTAATCTAGAGCACTTCATGGCATCCTCTGTAGGAAGTTGCTCTGCTAACCCAAAGGCAGGGCGTGTCTGTTAGTTCAAATCCACCATTCACTCACGGGAGAAAAATGGACCATCTCCTCCCATGCAGTTTACAGCCTTGAAGCCCAATTAACAGTGATGAGTCTTTTCCAACTCATCAGCAATAAGTTGAGTTTTCAAACTAGGCGCAATGGTGGCTAATGTATTGGATAGTGCCCAGTGTATTGGGTCACTAATTGAAAAGTCGGCAGTTCAATTCCCCAGAAAGATGGACAATCTCCTCTAGTAAACACTGACAGCCTCAGACCTCAGTGGAGACTTGCTCTAAGTCTAGAGAAACTTGAAAGCAGTGGGCTGTTTTGTTCTGTCTGTTTTGGTTTGCTTTGCATTTAGGGTGGAGGGGAAGGCAAGAATTTATATTGTTAGATACGAGAAGTGGTACATTGTGAAAAGTGGGGTGTGACACAGGCCCTAATGCCTCACTGGGACTGATCTACCTTTGTAGATCAATTGTTTCATTGGATGTTGGGAAATAGATAAACTTGTGAAAAGCTTTGCAGCTGTTAAATCTGTGAACATTTAATTTCTGAGGTGTGTTAATAGTTGAAATAAGAAATCTGGGATGTTTGATGGAATAAAAGTTTTTTTTTTTTTCACAAAGTATACTTCATACAAAGGGCAATTCCTCCAAGACAGATTTCTTTGTTCTTTTTGCAATCCATGGTATATATTCAATTCTGTTTGTCAACAATGCAATTCAAAGGCATCAATTATTTTTCCATCTTCCTTATTCATTTCCCAACTTTCTCACACATATGAGGTATTTGAAAATACCATGACTTGGGTTAGGGAGTTCTGATGACCTCGTGGTAAGAAGCTGTACTTAAATCCCAGAGGCTCGCGATTCAAGTCCACAAGCTGCTTCATGGGAGAAAGATGCTTATCTTCTTCAGTGTGAATTACTGTCTCTGAATACCTGCTGGGGGGGTCAGCTATGAGTCGGTTTCTACTTAATAGCACACAACAAGGTGGCTTGGGTAAGACCTTGTTCTTTAGAACTTTGTAGAGGCATTTTACCTCTAGATTTCCACAATGCAACACTTTGATTTCTTGACT